GTGCCAAAAGTAGACGGTGTAAATTCCACAATCAATAATGTAAAAATGGACTTTGCCAAACCTTATAATAAAGTAATAATCCATTGAAGTGGTAGTCTTTGTCTTTCATCATCAATAATTGAACAGAGCACATGTTTAAGATTCTCTAACAGATATATATCATCATCTATCACTGTACAAATCACGCATCAATAAATTGATTTTTGCAAATGGTATCATAATCAATCTTTTAATGATTTGATTATTTCTATAATTATGTGATTTTATTTTATTTTAATCCCATGTGAAACATATATTAAATAATTCAATCCCATCTACAAAAGCACGTGATCTTGAAATTAACTCAAAGACTTTTGACTTCTACATAAATATTCACTTTTTCGATTCGCTAAAATAGCCTTGTTGTGAGAAATGGACATATTTTCTATTTCTCTTGATGGGGGGATAGAAGAGAGTGACAAAGAGAGAGAGAGAGAGAGGTTAATTTTTAGTATTTCTCGAATTAACTTTAGTATTGTAAATTCTCACAATATCTATAGTTATTAGTAGAGGTTCTTCAAGCTCTGGCATATAATATTTTACTTCAATTAAATTGTTTTTTTTTTTTTTTTCCCTAAACTTAAGGAAGATGAATTGTAAATATGTTTTAACGGATTGTGTATGGAGATATAATATCGTTTACAGCTTGAAACTTTAATTGCAGGACTTATAGCATAATAGTATGGGGATATCATATGATAATTGTTGTTTATCTCGATTTCTTTTATTATTATTTTTTTTGTGCGTGTAATTAAATAATTAATCATGAGCTGTAGAAATAATATTTCTTTAGAGTAAATGGTATATGTTTACATGGTCAATAATTGATTAAAGCAAACCGTTTAAGATTCCCTAACAGATATATATCACATTTTGACAGTTCATACGCTGGGAAACTGTTTAACATAAACAATAATTTCATTCATATATCGCCCAGATTTCAAACATTTGAAAGAGTAGCAGAAAATGATTTACAACACAAAACATTAATATATAGATAATAAATTATTTATGATTTAAGAGAGTATAATGAATAGGTATAAATTTTGCAGCGCTTGTGCCTGAGAAGAGATGATTGTTTGTTAAACAAATAAATAAAAAAAAATATATATAATTAAGTTCTTCAATTGACTTTTTTTTTTTTTTTTTTTTATTTGGTCGATCGTATATTGATCTGTCTATTTTTGTCTAGATCTACGATCAAAGATTTGGTCGATCGTATATTGATCTGGCTGTTTTCGACAAGATCTGGCTGTCGTTAATAACCAGATATCTTAGCCGTCGTTTGTTTGTCAACAATGACCAAATCTGGCTATCAATGGCCAAATCTATGACAGTAGATCTTGCTATTTTTTGTCACATTCACGGTATATCTGATCGGAAAATGTTAGATCGATGCTTAACCAGCCAGATCCAATCAATTTTGCATTATTCTGATAGATTCTGACTACTTTTTTGTGGTGATGGGTGACTGTCGACAATATTTGAATGGATAAAAGTGTTTTTGTCGATCTATAAATTGTTATTGTATGAATTATTTAGTTAAATTAACAATCTTAAAAAATTAAAAATAATATAAATATTTTTAGAAAATACTATTAAGAAATATATCAAAAACCTTCATCCTGTCCTATCGTATTAAAAAAAAAAAATACGATATTCTAACAATCTTACAAAACGTAGTGAATTTTCACAGGGGATTTAAATTTTCGCAAAGAAGATCTATATACAGCAAGAAACGAGGCAAAATTATGAACACAAAGCTTGGGAGAAGTGAACCCGTCACCCATCACCGCTTTGATTGGATGCAACATCTGGAGTTGAAGTTGTTTCAGTTTTCAATTTAATTAATATGAGAGAGAGAGAGAGAATTTCCCTAAAGCACGCCTGTTAAGAATTTAATGGGAAGGAAATATTATTAAAGTTTCAACAAACCTGTTAAGAATTTAAAAAATCAAATAACTCGAAAAATGAGACAATCTCGAATTTTGTTAACTGCATGTGAAAAGTCGATAAACCATGTGAAAAAGGACCAGAATATTACTAAAAATTACTTCTAGTAGACTCAAGGGTTAGCTAACCCATGTCAAACTAAATTTTTTTAATGATTAATGCACACAGTCGCACATGCCATGCAACTAGGCATATAGATAGAATATTAAATATTCAACCCAGTTGATGCATCAGAAATAATTTACAAAAATGGCATGTCTCGTGACCCACCTCAAAAACATCAAAAATTAGATTGGACGAGCTATGGAGCTTCTTCTTGGAAAGTGGGGAGAAGAGATATAAATCTGACTTAGTAGATAAAACCTTTATTTAAAAAAAAAAAAAAAAACACATTTATGCACTGATTAGGAACATGGCTGGCATGGCGGATTCAACGGGTTCAACAGGCTTTCATGGGTCAGGTTATAAATTTTCTATTCATTCAAAACCCTAGAAATTAGGATATCAATCAATAAAAAATTGAAGGTTGGAATGTTAGGACTTTTGAAAAGGAATTATCAGTGAGTAAAATGGTGATGACGGAGATGATTTACGGTGAGTGAATCGACCTGAAATTATAAAAATAAGTTGTTGGAAAAAGCCGTTGTTGTTAGTGATTGGGGAGGCTAGCAAGGGAGGGGTGACATAAATTTTGGTCAAGAGGCTAAGGAAAGTGTTTCCATGGTGGTGAGGAGTGTTGTCATCGTCGAAAATAAGCTTTATTTGCCGACATCAATGGTGATGTTTGTAGTGTTTTTATCAGATTTCAAACCTATAGGATTATATGTAATTTTTAAAGATATTTTTGTTCGATTTGGAATTTTTAGACACCAATCTGACCCATCCATCAAATTGGTTAAATTGCTTGATCCAAGACACGGTGGCTTAGCCAAGTCACTGCACCGGTCGAGTTTCAGAACATCTGGCGTTGTAGTTGTTTCAGTTATCAATTTAATTAATGAGAGAGAAAGAATTCCCCTAAAGCACGCCCTTGACACCAGTGAAGCAAGCATTAATGCTAGTGCTAAGGTGTAGTAGAAGGAAATATTAGTAAAGTTGTTCGTCTTTCAACATAACTATTAGGAGCGTTTGGTTAGAGGGTCATTGGGATTATTGAGGTTAAATCATCTTATATTACTTTATTATCATATTTAGTTGTTAAGTAATATAAGATACCAATAATCTTTAAATACCAATAGTGGTTACTATTGGTAATATTAAAGGTAATCTGATTACCTCGATTTTTTTAAGTATTCTAAAATTATTAGTGTTATCTTTTTTTCTTACAATTCTATCTCTTCTTAATAAAATTTTAGGACAATAATATCTTTATTTTAAAATTTATTTACATGAATATTGTTTTTACTATTTTAACCCCAATTAATTAATTTTTTGGACAAAATTACCCTTACACTCTAAACAAATTACAGTCTACCCAAGCCACCACCCTTAGTCACTTGCCGCCGTCGGGCCCCGATAACCACCGTCGTGGCCAACCATTGCCGCTGTCGGAATGGCGCACGGAAGGCCGAAATGGCCGCCATGCGTCGATATGTAAGGTTAGAAATGACCAGATCTAATCGTCAAAGGTTAAATCCGTAATCAATAATAGTTTAACCAGTTTATCAAAAAGAACTTTAATACACAAAAAATATAGTTCAAATCAAATTTATAAAATAAAATAAAAATAATTTTGAAATTTTTACGCTTAAAATAAACACTTCCAATAACTCAATGCAACCCAAACTGGAAACATCGACATCTCATCCCTATATCATATCAATAAATATATGAAAATTCGTATCATAGGGTGTCAGACCCACAACAAAATATAATTTTACTACAAAGTCTCATTAAAAAGTCTACACACATGACATGCAACTATGCATATAACTATACAACCCATGTGATGCATCAAAGATAATATATAAAAATATGGCATGTGATAAAACTATAATGACTATGGATTGGCTTCTTGTGTTCCACCTCGAGACACAAAAAATTGGACTCCATGACGAACGATGGTGCTACTTGGAAATTGAGAGGAAAAGTGAGGGAAAAAAGTGAGCGTATAAATTTGGATGAGTCAGTTCCACCAAATTTTGGAAAGTATTAACAAAACTTAATACAAAAATTTAGAAATTTTATGATAATTCAGGAGGTGTGTAATAATTTTCAAAATGAACGTTTGTAACTTAGTTATTAACCCACAAAATAAAATAACATGGGATAGAGGAATTGCTTCCATTCATTTCATGCTTCATGTGTTTCTCCGTGGTCTGCAAACAAGTTTTGGTGTTCCTTTTTTATATGCAGGGGGTCCTTTTTGATGGCTGCTTCATGCGTATATTTGTGCGACTGTTTTATTATTTATTTATTATTATTTTTTTTTTTTTGTTTTTGTCGCAAGGCCTGCTCTTTTTGTTCTATTGGTCTACCTGTTTTATGCCTCTGTGAGACTAGCTTGCTGGTATGTAAATTGTAAATCCTTATCTATTTGCCATTGGTGTTTTTGATGGGTCCTTGGGAATGTCCAGGATTAGGGCTCATAAACTCTTGTGAAGACTCCCTATCTTGGGGTCTCATTCTACACAACTCATAAACTCTTGTGAAGACTCCCTATCTTGGGGTCTCATTCTGCACAACAACAAACACCACCACCCCCCCCCCCCCGAAAAAAAAAAATAAAAAAAAAATAAAGGTATACGAATTGCCTTCGAAATATATGGTTTGTTGGTTGTCTTGTAGTGCTAAAATTGGAGGATACAAATTGTTTCATATAATGAGTTTAAAGTTTTTTGCTTAAGCCTCAATTATATAACATTCCAGCCTACTAACCTGACCATTCCAATGGTCATGTGCAACGGCTACTTTCTGGCTGGTGTATAAATAATTTGTCATCTTCTTTGGACAATCGAAAAAAAAGGCAAATCGTAAATAAACACACACTAACTTTAGAAGGGCCAAACGATATAATTTTAATAAACAATTTACAAATAACCATATCCCAATGCCCTAGTGAAACAATATAAAAACAATGATTACTGCTATGCTATTCAGTGGACTCCTTCAGTAAACGGCGTCTTATTGTGGGTGTTTTTAATAGTTGCCAATGACTATTTTGGTGTTGGATACTTTCACATCTCTTGGAGGGGAGAGATGAAATTAAACCTTCTACTTTTTTAGAAAATTTGCGCTGTTCTTCTCGCCGTTTCAACCAACGTGAGGTTTCGCCACTTATATTTTGGTACCTGGATCCGTAGAAGATGTATATAATGAAAAAAAAGAAAAGCATATTGACATAACTAACAATGGTTATCCGGTGGTAGTACATGTCCAGCCGACTATCGTTCAAGGTGTCTCTAAACAAGCTTTTGTTTGCTTGAAAAAAAAGTATGCTAAGGAAATTTCCAAGTCCAATAACAAACTCATTAATTTCGGATACATACTCCTTCCAAGGATCTTGAAACTGATCAACGGTGAATTCATCGAGTCCAGTCACAATAAACCCTTCTGTGAGACCTAACAAAAAGAACTGAGGAGAAAGCCAGAATATACTCATGGGTATAGTTTTATTACCATAATCAGGATCAGTGTCTGATAATCCAATTATTGTCAACCTGCGATGCTCAACCTGCCATCCAACGGAAGAGCAAAGTATAGATGAAACAATTCCACCCCAAATTCCAGCTTGTATAGCTGTTTTCTTTTTAGCTTATGGTATCCATTTTGAGTGGATTAATACCATTAACAGATAGGAGCCCATTCTCTTTGAAAGACTTTGAAGTATAAATAGGCAGACAGAAAATTGATCTAAATACTTCATGTCATTTCCCTGCTTGGGAAAAAAGGTGTTGCCTGTTGATAGTACCAAACCAACGACAAGAATGGTAGTCCACATGGGAATAATACTTAAAAAATGCTTTACTAACTGAACTTCTGACGCTGGGAAAATCCTGCCAAAGTTTTTCTGTTCTTCTTGACTTTGAGTGGAGGATTCTATAATGGCAACTGTGTCTAGCCCTCTGCGATTCAGAGAATTAACAATTTCAGCTATATATTATTATATATCATTACACATTTATTACTAAAATAAAATTACAAATTAAAAAAAAAAAAAAAAGGTAAAGTAGAGGAGTGAAGACAGGCAAGTATGATGTCTCCTCTAGTTTCTACTTATATGGCTCATTCTTTGTGTCAATGTTATAGACACGTATACACTGGACAGTGGTTAAATTAAAAGAAAAGAAGAATAGGGTATATTTACCTGAGCCAATTGATTTTCGGTGACAAATGAAATTTATCTTCATCATTATCATTATTGACATGTTGATTGGAAGAAGTAGGATGTCCAAGGATCCTTGGCAATATGAAGGCTTTGATGACACGGAAAATTACACTAAAACCGCTGCCAACACCAGCCAATTCTCTACGATGGTAGATACAAATACCGCACCAGAACAAGAAGCAAGCGCTTCCCATCAACGATGTTGCAATCAATAAATTTTTTTGCCATTGCCATTCATAAAAGAATGTTAATAAGAATGCAACTACTGCAGGAGAAAACGTAGTAACAAGCCACCACTTCCTATTCCAAACCCTTTTGATCCACACACTTTTTCGAGTCCTCACTCGACTCTCATTAGAGTTTGTTTTCGGTTCGTCAACTTTTAATTGATGAGAAAGCACTGGTTCTAACAGTGCCTCCAATCCAGCTTTACCCACTGCTAATAGTACTATTCCAATTATCACGGCTGTCGATTTATATAACAGACCCAATCCCTGCAACAGCCATTAGCTTAGTTATAAGTCCATATATATTAGCATAGGACATGCCACAGCATATTGCTAGGCCATGTTACTGTAAAGTTAAATACATTTTAGGTTAAGTAATATTTAGGTGCAGTAGAATCTAAAAGTAATATTTATGTCCTTATCAATTAATAACGGTTTAAAATGGCAAGTTATAGCATTTTATAAAATTAAAAAAGAAAAGGAAAGTGATTTTAATGTGTTTTCTGATTATATAATTCTTATTTTTTAATGAATTATATAATTAACGTGTTGTGTTTAAAAGCTTTATTACTAATATCATTTTGTTTCCAATACATTGTTGTTAGGGGTCTAAAACACTTTTTTATAATACCAATCCAAATTGTCCTAATTCAAACTTTAAAAATCTATTTTAAAAAAATTTGAGAGTTATCATTGAACGATAACCTTAAGAGTAATTTATGATATATAATATCGTAAAGGATTAGAGAAGAAATTAAGCCATTTTTCAAAGTCAACGAACTTACCAAAGTAAAGGAAATAGTTGACAAGATGATGACTTTTGTATGACCTAGGCGGGATTCTGAAATGTAAACCGCAACAATTCTCAGACACCCTGATAGTCCTTCCTGAATGTTCGTCAATATTGCAGCTTCCATGATATAAAATTCCATTTCGTCGGTGAAGTATGTGATGATATCACGCACTACAACGAGGTCTACCAATTTGTAGGCGACGTCCAAGACTGGAAATTAAAATAACCATTAGTGCCTTAGAATAGAGGGCGTCTAATCAAATTAATAATCTGCCAATACACTTTCTACTTCAACAAATATAATTAAGCTTTAGTGTATCAACAAGGCGTTGGATAAATCCAATGGTGTAAAGCTCAGTCCACTCAAAAGTTAAAAACATCGACCCCATTACATAACAAAGTCGCAACACACTTTCTCTCTCTCAAAAAACAAAACAGTGGAGACTAATCATAAACTTAACAGCATCAATCATCAATTTTAACTTCTAATTAATTATTTTAAAAGTCATCAGTTTTATTAACTTCCTTAGTAATTTCTATTGATCCGAACAAAATCAAATGTTTCGTTTACTTTTAGTTTGATGTTTATCCGTTTGTAACTCAGTTGTGTTCTCGTTTTGGGCTTCGGAACCATGTTAATATAAGCAAGCTATAGGTAAAGGAGACTTGATTAGCGGTGAAGATGGAGTAGCAGTAATAATATATAGGTAAAGATGCACAATTACAGTCTACACCTCACTTAGGCTTTGTACAAGTGGGAATGGTTAATGAATGCCCAAGGAAAAGGTAGAAAATAACAAAATATCATATATAGCTGTTAAAGCCGAATTAATTGTAGGAACTGATATCTTGACCCCATTAAACTTCTTAATAATTGTATAAAAATTATACAATAGAGTTGCAATACACACTTTCTCTCTCAAAAAACAATCATTGGAAAGACAGAGAAAGAATTCTAAATAACTGAATCAATGCACTCATATATAAGAGAAACTACATCAAGCACCGAAATAACAGCTTCAATCACAATATATATAAACCTATTTTGGCACTTAATAGATATTCAGCACTGGCAAATTGGATCATTTATCAAGTCATAGATTAGCTACTTTGAGGCCCGTGAAGGAACTATGATGGCCATGGAATATTGGTGGCCGTGTGACTGTGAACCGGTAATAGTGGTGCCGGAGGTTCTGTGCGTGGTGCTGGTAATGATAGAGTAGCAGTGATAAAAGACAAACACAATAGATAATATTTACTAAATTACTTGATATCCAGTACTGTTACCTAAGACAAGTGCCACTCCCATACGAGAAAGAATGCGATAGCTTGCAGAGATTATGAACTTGGAGAAGATGTGAATAAGCATCACGGGGTTGAACGAGTTGAGAAATCTCATCAATTGTTGTTGGCTAATGAAGATCATTTTGGTATGTTGCAAAAGAAATGACTAGCTAGGGATACAGAAGGAACCACTACAATAATTTTTTTTTCTATTTCTCTTCGGTTCCTCTCTTTAACCATAAGTTCAGCAGGGTGAAGTACGTATATTTATATAAGCAAGAGGCGGAAATTTCTTAACATTTTCACAGGACAAAATCACGTTGACTGTGGTCAACACAGTTATATTTATAATACCCATCACACCCCCTATAACTCCTGAAATCTCCTGGCCTCTGTAAACTTCAAAAACTACTAAACACACCCTCTACCGTTAAAATTATCGTTTAATTGGCTAATGGCTACTTAAGGGGGACAATTTCATCATTCAAATCAAATTATAGCACATAGCAGCGACTTTTCAAGGATATTTCACTTTTTCAAGATAAAAGTGTCCATTAATAGCCACATGTAAGGACAAGATAGACATTTTATTTTATAAGGGTATTTTGGTCCATAAATTTTTAATTGCAATTACTATTGTTATAACTTTCTTAAAGTTTTAAAATTTCTTTCCAAATATTGCCACATCAACACAGTTGCAAATTCATAGACAAAGTTGGTAATTTAATATCGGATACATATGCAAGGGCAAATAAGATATTTCAAATATAAAAAAGAGCCAACATCCAATTAAGTCAGAGGGAAGAGGGGAGAAATGGTGATTTTTAACAGTTGAGGGTCCGGTACAGTTTTTATGTGGGCCGAGTTGACCATCACAACAGTAGTCCATCACAACAGTAGTGAACAAATAGGGAGATACAAAAATCAAAATAATAGTAAACACACAGATATAAACACTCAGTGATTTTACCCTAGTTTACACAATTAACAGGCTACATCCAGCTAAGTTAATATTATTACAATATTGCCTCTCCTCTCTCGTTTACTATGAAAGTAATTTACACTATTGTTTGTTATCACTCATTATAAGAGAAAAATATGTTTATATACTAAGTTTAAAAGACTAAAATCTAATCTTACAAGGAATCATATTCCTAAGCCCAAACCCAATCAATACTGAATTAATAATCTAAGAAATTCTTCAACAGCTTTTCATTGAAAAGGCCCAAACTGCCCATGAGCCAAGAACCTCAAATGTGTCTACATGACCCATTAATGTTGAAGTAGTCGACAACTCCAACAAGTAGCATGGCCAAACCATGGGCATTGTTGCTTGCTTAAGGCCAGGTTGTGGCCATCACAACAGACGCCGAGGCTCGCCATGGCAGACCTCGCTATCCTCAGGACCAGATCATGGCCACTGTAGCTTGCACGCAGTTCAAGTGCGACAAAACGAGAGTGTACTCATTGGATTTAAGGAGAAGTGAAGCTTCTTTTAGTGAACCCCTCACCACCGCTTGATCGGATGCAACATCTAGAGTTGTAGTTGTTTCAGTTTCTAATTTATTTAATATGAGAGAGAAAGAATTCCCCACTAAAGCAAGCATTGACACCAGTGAAGCAAGCAATGCCGGTGCTAAGGTGTAACAGCCAGAAATGGGTAGATATCATCCTTAAAAACGAGCTTGGAAGGAGAGAGTGCCCATGTGGTTATTAACCTACGTGAAGGTGAAGTTTTGATTTTGATGTGTTTGAAGATGGTTGACTACGTAAAGATCTAATTTTGATATGTTTAGTGATGGTTGATGATGTGAACTTTTGATTTTGTGTAATCTGTTGTTTAATGAAAGAGGTGAAGAAGGTGCATAGATATTCACTAATTTTATTAATTTAAGGGTGAAAGAGTAATTTTTTGATCTACTCATCATTATAATAAATATTTATAAGGGTAGAAAAAGGTATTTGATCTATCAAAGTTGTTTACAAAGAATTCATATGGAGGGAGACCGCTAAAGGGTGGAAGGTTGATAGTTTTTGAAACTCTGTGTACCACGATATCTTGCTAAATCTAGCGTGGGTATATGTAATTCAGCCTAAGAAGAAAATGTATAATGGACTAATTAGCTGGCAGCCAAAGAAACATGGAAAATAAAAATATATTTTAAAATACTTTAAAATTGTAATTCTATCCCAGTCAACAAGTAAACAATAATTATGTATGGAAAGCGTCCAATATTTAATATTTTGCGAAGAAGCTGGGAAAGACAAAAAGCTGAAAGCATGTTAAAAACATTTTGAAAATCTTGATTAAATTTAGAGTTGTTAAAGTATTAAACGTGATTCATGTTACTGATTTAAGTATGCTTTATATTTCTTGGCATCATATTCATTTACGTCGGTGAAGTATGTGATAAAAAATCTGCATTCACAAGCTTGGTCATGAGGAATACTTTAAGAAAAAGTGCCTGAAGACCTCATTAATCTATGTTTTCATTTGTCCTTCCAATTTCTAAAGAAGAGACGATTCAATTTTGTCGCCCATTTCTTGTCGTTTCTTCTTTACCAAAAGTGGCTTTAAAACATTAAGAGACCCCATTTGAACAGAGAAAGGAAAACCACGATCATTATTGCGGTGGTGACCCAACTCCAAAGGATATAATAGCCTTTACATGTACAACCTACAAGCCCAATACCTGCACTAGAATGACAACTTAACATCAATGATCGGAATTGCGGTGGTGACCCTACTCCAAATGTCCAACGTGTAGGGCCAATACCATAACAATAAGAATGAAATTACACATACAAAATGTTTTTACAAAAATGTTCATACAAGATTGTTATGCCTGGAAAAGTAGGGCTGACGCAGAGTCCAGTCAATATAAGTGGTCAGAGCTTAGATAAACCCCCAACCATTCAGGTGCAGCCACGTCTCGTGATGATGTGAGCAGCATGCTTCCGTCAGTACAGTGGATGCGCGCCAGACTAGCAAAAGGCTGGAGAAGGTCCACATGTTCAATCCCTACACAAATCGCATAAATCGCTCTAGTAAGTGGGCAACGGGACGTAAAGAAGGATTTGCACGGAACTCTGACCAACTCACAGATTTAGTAATCATTACCCCAATTCATCCCACTATAAATAGAAAGTCCTTCTCTCGTTTGTGGGATTAGCTAATTTCTCTCTAAAACAGCATACATACTCTCTCCCTCACCTGTAATCACTTATAAATCAGCTCGTTGAACGTGACCTGACCACTAATATTAATACAATACCAGTAGATGTAGGAGTCGCTTTCCTAACCATTCGAACCACTTTAAACATTGTTCTCCATCTCTTTCGCTCTCATTCTCCCATTCACGTGTGTCCTCTAGGTCAACTCAACATTTCACACGTGCATTTAGTTGGTGTTAAAATCGCGCATCAACAGTTTGGCGCTAGAAAGAGGGCTTGATTTAGTGTTCGTCCTTCATCAGGATAATCTCTAACTAACTGGTCCTACAACAGCAAATGGCTCGCCGATTCGAATCTGAGCGAACCATTCAGGATAAGGAAGAGATCCCCCAAGTGCAGGACACTTCTCCCGAGGTGCCCTCAGTCTCACAAATACCATGGGGGATATCCCTTCAAGCTCACAGCTTGACCCAACTGTCATGAGCTACCTGGAGAGGTTCAACAATATTCTCCAAAGTTGAATCGGGTAGTGCCACCTGAAGCAAATGAGGCGATGCAATCGCCAAAAATGCCTTTAGGTCACATGAAAGTGCAGAAAAAGGCATAGCCCATGCCGCGCGTACTGCAGCGCGTCAAAGGAAGGGAAAACAAGTGGCGAACAACAGGCCTAGAGGCTCTGAGGGACCAACAAACACTAATCGCACCCGGGGTAGAATACTCGTGGCACAAAGACTCGGTGATAGGTCGCAAATCGAGTTGTCCCATGCCACATCGCGCGAGCACTCCCACAAAAGGGCAAGACAGGGAGATTCCCATTACCGCCAGAATGATGATTCTGATTGTCGTCGTGAGGAAAGTTCCCATACTCCGCGGGTTGGTTCTTACCACTGCGGAGGTCGTGAAGATTCCTCGCACCATTCATCGCCACCACACGACTTTAGCCAGTATGTGTCAAGATTGGCTGGAACTGCCGGCAGAGGCAAGGAGGAACCCGACCTACCATCATTCCTCAACAGTAACCGCGAGGGTCGAACCGACGTTGCGGAAAGTAACCCCCAAATAGCTTTGCTAGCTTAGATTGAGGAGCTGTAGCGAGCTCTGGATCAATTAAAAGCTCAACAAAGTAAGCAAGGGCAGGTCGCAGAAGTGTCGCCCTTTTCTCTAGCGGTACTAGTCACCCCTCTCCCATCCAGATTCAGAATGCCTGACATGCGGGCGTTCGATGGGAATTCTGATTCGCAGGATCACCTGTACGAATTTAACGACCTAATGGAGCTACACCAAGTTTCTCACTTAGCAAAATGTTGTTGCTTGGTAGTAACTTTGACTTCACATGCCAAGCGATGATTCAGGTCGCTTCCAGCAAGATTGATTAGCTCGTGGAATCAGATGAGCTCTAAATTCCTGAGACACTTCCAAGCGAATAAGAAGTTCTCAATGCCTTTGAGCTACCTCAGCAACATAAAAATATGTGTCATTGTAATCTAATAATTTAATTAATGATAATTTCGTTTGATTAACTAATATACTAAACATTAGATATTGATATTCTTCTAATAAATGATCATAGACAATAAAAGTGTGCCCTTTGGTTTGTTTCTCTATTTTTTCATTATCTTATCTTATTATCATATTCAATCCTATAAAAATACACATTTATTTTATTATTCTCAATTCTTTTCAAAATTCAATCATATTATATTCAACTCAAAACACGAACAATTACTTTTCTCAATAAAAGTTTTAAAATTAACAAAAATACCCCCACACACTTAAGCCACTGTACGTATGATCGAATAGATTTGGTCGATCATGCACTGATCTGTTCGTTTCCAGTTAGATCTATGACTAAAGATTTGGCCGTCATTGACAACCAGATATTTGAGTCATCATTTGGCCGTCAATAACGACCAAATCTGGCTGTCAACAACCATATCTGTGACAGTAGATTTTGCCATTTCTAGTCATATCCACGGTATATCTGGTCGAAAAAGATCAAATCGACACCTGACCAGCAA